AAATATGTGGACAGAGTTGGTAATGAGATTTGTTGCAGGGGTAGGTTCCTGGTTGAGTGTTTCTGTGGTGTGATGTGTGGCTGCTGGCAAGTCCTACAGACAGCCTCTCAACCTGGTCTGTGGGAGTGGGGGATCATTTTCCAGGATAGTTTGTCAATGATGCATTCCAGGGGTTTAAGCTGGGGCTATAGGTGTTGACCAGTGGTGTTCTATTATTTTCCTTGTTGGCCTGTATTGAAATAGGTGATTTCTGGGTACTCGTCTGGCTCTGTCAATCTGTTTCCTCATTTCTACAGCTGGGTATGTAAGTTTTAAGAATGCCTGATAAAGATCTTGTAGGTGTTTGTCTCCGTCTGTGGGATTGGAGCAGATCCAGTGTATCTTACGGCTTGGCTATAGACAATGGATCCTGTGATGAATCCTGAATGCAACCTAGAGGCATGTAGGTAAGAATAGCGGTCAGTAGGTTTCTGGTATAGGGTGGTATTTATGTGACCATCATTTATTTGTGCTGTAGTGTGTCCTGGAAATTAATCTCTTGTGTGGACTGGTTCAGGCTGAGGTTGATAGTAGGGGGTGGGAAATTGTTGGAATCCCTGTGGAATTCTTCAAAGATCTCAATCTTGTGGGTCCGTATAATGATGTCATCAAGGTAGTGTAAATAGAGTAGAAGTGCTAGGGGAGAGGGTTTTGAAGAAATGTTATTCTAAGTCAGCCATAAAAATGTTGGCATGTTGTGGGGTCATGCAGGTTCCCATAACAGAGCTGCTAACTTGAAGGCATAAATTATCCCCACATGGAAATTGTTGTGGGTGAGGACAAAGTCACATAGCTCAGCAATGAGCTATGTGTCATGATTGAGAATATTGTCCTTGACATCGTGTAATCCATCCACAGAGGCAAAGGAGGAATTTGTGGTGATGGTGCAGGGTGACTTCACAGTGTCCAAGACAGTTATCCTTTGACTTCATGGGCTTGGCTATCAATACTAAGACTACGGGGATTGCCATCTACTGTAATTGTGGCTGCAGTTTTACAGCCTCCAATCTGAGATTCACCGCACCATCACAGACCTGCCTTTCGATGGTTTGGGTGTTTCCATAGAGAAAATGGACTCCCAACTTCATAAACCTGAAGAATTCCAAAGTCACTTTAAAATCCCTTGGGATCCAGATGCCCACCTCCCGGTGCCAGGTTTTTAGGCCACAATAGCTTGCACACTTTTTCTTTAGCCCTCCCAGACAAGATCCAGGATGCCATTGGGCATAATAGTCGGAAGGGACCTCCTTGCTCCTTTTTCATGCAGTGCTAGGGTGCCTGCAAATAACCCCATGGGCCCCAGCATCACTTTGAGGGTATGCCCAAGGGCGGAGCACCAGACACTATGTCCTTCTCCTTTTGGGTACTGTTTGTTCTACTTTTATGGTGCCTGGATTCAAGTAACCTCAAATTGTTGGGTCCTGAACATGGTCTTGACAGTACTCCTGGCATTTCTGTATTTCCAAGGCCAAAGGAATTCAAATGCTTTCATACGAAAGCTTCATTTCTGTGTGGTCTCCCTAGCCTCCATTATCCCTTCCCTGGATCTGGAGGACTGGTACACCACCCTCAAACAGAAAGATACATATTTTCACATTTCTAGTATCCTGACCCACTCCCGATTCCTGCGATTTTTGTAGTGGTGCTCAGACATTACCAGTTCATGGTGTTGCCATTTGGCCTGGCAATAGCACCAAAAGTCTTCACAAAGTGCATGGTAGTAATGACGGCATTTCTACAACGGAATTGGGTGCAAGTTTTCCTGTACCTGGACAGTTGGTTGATCAAAGGCAGATCAAGAGAGCAGGTGCTCTGGCATGTAGACCTGGTCAAGGCCACATTCTCTCTTCTGGGTCTCATTCTCAGTGTGCCAAGATCCACTCTCTTTCCCATGCAATGAACAGAGTTCATTAGGGCCCTTCTTGATTCTACTTGGGTAACCATTTCCTTACCTGAGTCCTGGTTTTAGACCATGGCAAGCCTCAACTCAGAGCTGCAAAGGTGCCGTCTTTCAACAGTGTGCAATTGTATGAGGCTTCTCTGTCTGCACCTGGTACATGCATGGCTAGCGTCAGTGTTTGTGCCATCCAGGGATCCCCTCGACTATGCAGTCATGGTACTGCTGGCGATCCTGTACTCCCTCGATTGGTGGATACAGCCCCACACAGTGTATGTGTGGGTCCCCTTTGCAGGGCCACAGTCAGAGGTTTCCTTGGTGACAGACACTTTGAACATGGGTGTGGGACAAACCTGAACAAGGTACGCACGCAAGCCCTCTGGTTGATCATAGACATGGGCTTGCACATCTGTGTTTGGGAACTCAGGTAGTCTGGCTCACTTGTCACGTGTTTCTGCCTCCTCTGCAGTGCAAGCGAGTCCTGGTAATGATGGACAACACCAAGACGATGTTTTATATCAACTGAAAGGGTACTGCTCCCTTCTCTCCCCTGAGCTGGGAGGCCATGTATAATTATGAGACCTGTATAATTATCACAATATTCACCTGTAATATGGTCAAAAGGGACATGACAAAGCCACTGTACAGATGTCTGTATGTTTCTGTCCTTATGCATGACAGTCCATTAACCTATTGCTCTGCAAAAAGTTCCCCCGTGGTGCTTTAAACCACTTTCACATATGGCCTGCATTTTCCTGAGAGGATGTCTTACTACATTATCTGGGTACGTGCCACTGCCTGGTGTGTTCAGGCAGTTAACTGGGCCAGGATCTAGATCTTGGCTACATAGCAACATCACCATGTCAGTTTGATATTTACAAAAGGACAGCATGTGTAATTAGTTTGCGTTATTCCATGTGCATTTCCTATTAAAACCAATCAGTGTGTTTGAAGATCCTTTTATATACTATCTGAAATTTCTAATGATTAAAATTCTACTCTGGGGACTGGGAATGCCTAGTGTCTATTGTCATCTAATGACGTTTTTTCAAGAAGTTAGTACAATAAAAGATCAACGCTATTAATATGTCTGTGGTTATCTTGTCAGTTGAAATATGAGGTTACTTTCAACTGACAGATCTTGTTTACTTTACTGGAATGATTTTTTTTTCTAATGTATGATGGCTCATTTGGACTTCAGTTTTCAGCAAAGCAATGGAATCTTCATTGGACTTTGAACTAAATTCGTGTGTACAGTGTAGATACTTGAATCCAAAGTGGAGGACTCTGCAGCTCCGTTTGTAATCATAGAGACAAGCACAGGGAGCTGATTATGGATATTCCTACTTGTACAATTTGTTATACATAAAAACAGTTTCTAATTAGAATAATCCTGTGTTTCTGTATTGAGTTACATGGTAATGAAAACTATTCCCAATGTCAGCAGTTGGGAACCAATGAAGCTCACTTGCAAGAAATCCAGTAGATAGCATTCAAACAAAAGCATTCAGAAGAAGGCCAATTTCTTTGCTTAATACTCTGACCTCAAATTCTCCCATCTGAAACTTTGTTAGTAAATTTTCAGAAACCTGAGGGCCGTACCTGATATAGAAATAATTAAGCAAATTTCCACAGGAAAGATAAGAATACATGTAGGGTTGCCATGGAAAATGATCATGCTCTTCATCTGAATGCTGATGGAGTTGAATATTATTTGCAGTGCTCCATCTTGATTCAATTCCTTGGTATCTGAAATATGCCAATATCCCAATGATAGTTGTCTGCCATGCAACTGGTGATGGTGATTATTTATGTTATAGTTGCTAAGAACCTTTGCCAGTACCCCATTGTGCTAAGTGTTGTAGGAACAGGAACGAAAAGAGATCTTATGCCTGTGGCAGATGGTATTGGACTTGGGACTTTCTATTGTCTTCATCACATTTCATTGCTTTTAGTCAATGTTCTTCATGTGCCTTTGAACATTGTCTAACAATAGAGATGTTAAAAAGATTAAGTGTTTTAACTTGGGGCTTGCTGTCAGCATCCCACTGCAGCAATGAGGTCTCACCACCTAGCTCTTTTGTGGTTGGGGTTGCTCCAGCCTGGTGTGGCTGGTTGCCACCGGAGATGGCTGGCAAGGACTGGTTAACTAATAAGTGTACCTGTTCGGGATGTGAAGGACTAGTTGACCAGCAAATGCTTATTGGATAGTCGACAGGCTAGTTGACCAGTTGCTTCCCCCCCTTGCTGCCTCTATCAGATGGAAGCAGCAAAGGGGGGAGAGAGGGAAGAGGGGATACTTCAAAGCGGCAGTGCTGCTTGAAGCCTGGGGCCAGACTTTGGGCTCCATGTGGTACTATTGCTTTGAAATGCTGCATGCAGCCTGGGATCAGCAGGGGACTCCCCTGCTGACATCGGGCTCTGTGCGGCGCTGCTGCTTTGAAATGCCACATGGAGCCCGATGCCAGGCTCCCCATAGCTTTTCAAAGCAGCAGTGCTACACGGAGCCCAGGGTCAGTGAGGGAGTCCACGCAGCACTTCTACCTTTGAAGTGTAGCAACAGTCCTAGGGCAGCTGTTATACTTCAGAGGTGGAAGTACCCTATCGACTAATCAAATAGTTGATGCAAAATGCATCAACTATTTGATTAGTCAGTCAATATTTAACATCTTTCGTACCAATACACCTCATGCTTACCAGTTAACTGTTTTAACAACCCTACTAACAAGCACATATGCATGGTATATTTTATTTTAATTTTATGTTTGGGTGCTTTAGGAACTTAATATTCCATTTTCCATTAAAAATTAATAATTTTCCATGATGAGACTTGTTGTTCTTTTGTACTCTTTGCAGAAGGCTTCACATTAAGTGGACCGCCAATCTTCGCGGTTAGATTAAGAGATTTATAGTGGGATTGAATGTTTGGAGATTTGGAAATTCTCAAATAATTTACATCTACAAAGTTAACCTAGATAGACAGAAGTAACACTCTTCATACTATTCATCTCTTAATTTTCAAAAATAGCTCTCTGTCTAATTAAGCTGCTTTCATTTGAAACAGAATATTCTGAAGGAACATGCTGATGACGATCAGAATCTTGCCATTTCGGGGGTCCCTGTGGTAACCTGGCCTAAGAAGACCACAAAGGTAATAAGTCACATTTGCAAACTTTGCCTGGTAATCATTTCAATGCAAGGTTTCTGTATTTGTTCTGCTATGTAGTTTGATAAGATTTTTTTTAGGGACTGTGAGCTTTCTTATTATTGATCCTGTATTTCAATTGGTTTATAATACAATCAGATGGTGAAATACAGGATTCAGATGCTTCCATAGGGAGAAACTTTCACTTCCAGTTTTAAAAACATCTGTGTAGTCCCTATTTACATATTTGATTCTTTAAAAATAACTAGTAATATATTGTTTTCAGACAGTTTTCACATTCATTCAATAAGAGCATTACTGTAAAAAAAATTGTAATTTGACAGCTAGTTATTAAACCACGATAAAGTTTGAGAATGTTGGTGCCCGTTGAAGAACTGAAAACTGTGTACTCATAGTAAATGCTTTTGACTGGAGAGAGGGGGTTTTAATTGATTTATGTGTTCTTGGCCAGCTGCATAGCCTATGACAAATCACTTTGGGCATGTCTACACAGCAACATTATTTCGAAGGAACTAGCATTGGAGCATCTCAAAATAACGTAGTCTGTGTCTACACAACGGGCAGTTATTTTGAAATAATGTTGAAATACTGTCAAGCTAGAGGACTTCTTACTCCAATTTCTGAAACCTCATTGAATGAGGAGTAAAGGAAGTTGGAAGAAGAGTGTTCTGTTTCGATATAAGGGCTGTGTAGAAGCTCTCAGTTTTGAAATAAGCTACGCATATTAAGCCCTGCTGTGTAGATGCACCTTTACCCTCCCAGTTTTCCCATCTGTATATTGTAAATAATGCACTTTTTATTTCATACAGATATTATGAGGCTTAATTACTATTTATAATGTATTTTAGCTGATTAGCTGGAGGGTAATGAAAAAGAATGCATTTCAACTAGAGATGTGAAAGGCTAACTGATGAGCATTACCCTTAATGGGTGATATGGATGATGTTTACTGGTTCTGGTTAACTGGTGAGGGTTGGAGCATCTCCGCACCATGTCGTAGGCAACAGGCTGCTCCAGCCCCACAGGGCCCGCCATAGAAAGGGGCACACCAGACAGCTACCAGTTAATTGGGAATCAGTTTGGAGTGAGGAAATCAACAGTGGGGGCTGTTGTTGTACCGGTAGTTAACTCAATCAATACCATTGAGTTTTGACTCTGGGAAACATGGAAACCATAGTGGAGAACCTGAGGCCTAGGGGCCAGATGCAGCCCCCAGCTTGCCTAGATCTGGCCCCCAAGGCTCAGGGCTCTCCCAGCATTGAGGACCCTGTGCTGATGCTCCAGCCCCTTTCACCCCTCGACTCCCCCCTCCCACTGCAGCTAAAGTCC